ATGTTGATAATAATCCCAAGCTGATTTGGAATGTTACGAGAGTTGTAAAACGCCTGTGTCATTGAAGACCGAGGATGGTAGTCCTACTGCGGTGTTGATTGCGCTGATATTATTAATGATGTATTTGTAAGTTTTTTTTCGCCGTCTCCAAACACTCTTACTCTTGATTGCATATCTTATGACTATCTAACAATGAATCCCTTAATAGTCGATCCTGAAGGCATTGTTAAAATAATTGACTCCCTCAAACTTTCATCATATGGAGGGAATTGACGATATTCATACAACATTCTTAAAGAACTCCATGACCTGCATGGCAATTTAGCTTGCCGCCATAGTAACTCAATCTTTACGGTTTGGTGATTTACCTGACGATTGGAAGGTCGCCAGGGTGATTCCTGTGAACAAGGCAGGTGACAAACGTGGTCCTCTAAATGTTCGCTCTATTTCGCTGACTAGTATCCCATGCGAAAATTCTCAACAAATAATTCATTCTAATTTAGTAAACTTCCTAGATCCAAACTTTCCTGTTCATTTCGACATGGTTTTTGGAAGTCATTTGCATGCGAAACCCAGCTTTATCATTTCCACATGACCTTCACACTATACTTGACCAGAGGTTAAGTATAGATTTATATTAAGATTTTTCAAAGGCGTTTGATAAGCTGTCTCACATACTATTTCTGTTAAAACTCAGTAAGGAAATTATCACTCTGAACGTTCTGACCGTGATACATCATTTCCTAACAAACCTCGGACATCGGGTTACCATCAATAATTATATTTCCGCGTTAGTCTCTCTGGCTTCAGGAGTCCAATAGGGTTCAGTTTTAGGTCTTTTGCTACACTCTCAGAAAAAAAAGGGTATATTCTTACCCCTTGTCCCATCCCATATACGACACCCCAAAACTTCAGTTCAACGTACAGTGCGCTGACGTCTAACAGACGGCCTCAACTTTTACGAGGCACTTGAGAACGGTGAGATATACCTCATTAAACAGTTAAAGTACGCATCAAAAACTACAGAAAAGAAACACTGAGGTTTTGCAGTAATGCTAAGAAAATCCCGATTACTTTTTTTTTTTTTTGTGGTCAATAACACGTACGTTAGCTATTTTAATAAGTTGTACCACTCGGCTATCAAGCCGCCTGTGAAAGTTGGGAACATCGGTTCGACGTCCACGAGTTGTACGCCGAATTGAAATTTTGGGGTGTCGTATATGGGACCTTTCTTTTCTGAGAAAAGTATTTTTAATCCACAGCAATATCCTACCATGTCATATATCAAGAAACATTTCACTATTTGGTGATAACTACGTTTCCTACCGACAAGCGACCAATAACCTTGATTCAAACCAGTTACAAAACAATACCAACGTAGTATCACTTTGGTGCGAGTCATGATCTATGCAACAAAACTTAACTAAATGTAAATAATCTGTAAAGAGCGCGACACTGTTAGCGCGAACAAGCGATCGCCGGTTTTCCCTTTTTTTTTTTTTTTTGAAACCAAAGGATGTCATCAAAGTTATTATTGCTATAGATAGAGTTCATTTAGGTCTATATTGCAGGCGATAAAATTTCGTACTCGTGCTAATACTATTTACAAGTAAAATGGGAAAATTCGCCGATGTCGTGTTCGCGCTAACAGTGCACAATGTGTACGTATACCGATATACGACACTACCTGCAGATTAGAATATTCAAGTAGTTGCACTGCACTAGGTATCAGAGTGCCGGTACCTTGGTTGGTGTACATATCACGTCTGGTCTAACCTGGAAATCTCACATAGATAACGCAACTAACAATGAAAATTGCATGCTGGAATGTTTAAAGAGAAACTTCACATTGGCACCACAACCACTAAAAGTAATGATGTATAAAACACTGGTACAACCGAAACTAGAGTATGCATCGCCTGTTTGGTATCCTCATCAGTCTTCACAAATTGCATCACCCGAAGCAATACAAAAACAAATCGGTACTTTTCATTTGATTCAAATATCATATATTTTCATCATATGAATATATAATGAAAATGTTATCTCTTTCTCTACTGTCTAAAAGGAGGACTGTTCGTGATTTAATTTTTCTGCATAAGGTTGCGAATGGCGCTGTTGATTCGGCTCAACTCCTTGCAAAAGTGAACTTTCATATTCCATTCCGAGTAACTAGACACTTTGTTTGTTTTGATGTTCGCTCGCCATGTAACACCTTACCTCTCTTACGGATACAGTCATTATATAATACCTTCGCTCCACCCCACCTTGATATATCTGCATCAATTCCTATGTACCGTCGTGATTTAAATGATATTATTCTAGCCCCTTAGCATCATGTTTGTCTTGGATGTTTTATCTTTTTAGTAAATGTTTAGAGCCTATGTACTTGCTTGCTCATTTTGCTTGTTGTGTTGGTGCACCAATAAGAAGACCAATGTGGTTGTTTTTGGGCACCCCAAAATACAGATTATTATTATTATTATAGATCATCGAACGTCAAGTGTTTTCATTAAGAACTAAACTTTCACTCCCACAACTATCAGTCCACAAAAAAAATCGCTCGGTTAATCTTATTTCACAAAGCTTATCACACTAACCATACTCGGTGAGATAGGTTCTTCGAACTTCATGAGTCAGTAATCAACATAAAGTTGCTATCCGTCCCTCTATTAGCAATGCTTTTAACTATTCCTTTATATCACGTGTATCCCTCCAATGGATTCACCCTCCGGGTTCATCCTCTCAATTACTGACAGTGTTTTTTTTTTTCTTTTAAGAAGGCCTTAAAGGGGCGGTGCAACGGTATTCAATTGGAATTTTTTTCACTTTACACGAGCTTACTGGCACTAGTGGGACTCAAGGATAATCGCACGCAACGCCACTAACCAAGAAACTCATTTATTGGGCTTTAATTTCCAAGACAAAACCGAGCGTTTTCATTCAATCTCTCCTTCGCAAAAACCTGATGACGTAGCTGGGCGGTAGCAGTACCGCCCAGTGACGATATTTGAATGCGGCTCATAGATTGGACCCGAGCATTGCGTGGGCACTCGATTTGGGCTCGCGATAATCTATAGCTCGAGAAGCATTTCGGGTAGTGTCCTGTGTCCAATCGCTGCACTGACGAAAACAGCCGAACCATAACAATGTGGAACGCAGCGCGTGTCCTGTGCCTTGCCAACCGCAGCGCATGGCTATGATCAACATTGGCGGCCTATAATCGGCTCCAGATCACATGGCCGCTTGTTCTGGCTGCGAGTTGAGGGGGTGAACGCTGCTCGGTTTTCTTTATTTTTTGCTGCGACTTCGATTGCGTGTAGTAAAAAACGAACGGGTATTTACAGGTCATTAACGTCAGGGATCCGTTCTAAGCGGTATTTGCGCAAAATACAAAAATCGTTGCATCGCCCCTTTAAAAGGGCGGTGCAACGATATTCATTTGGAATGTTTTTCACTTTACACGAGCTTACTGGAACTAGTGGGACTCAAGGATACTCGCTCGCAACGCCAATGACAAAGAAACTCCTTTGTTGCACTGTAATTTTGAGGACAAAACCGAGTGTTTTCATTCAATCTCTCCTTCGCAAAACCTGATGACGTAGCTGGGCGGTAGCAGTACCGCCCAGTGACGATATTTGAATGCGGTTTATAGATTGGACCCGAGCATTGCGTGCGCACTCGATTTGGGCTCGTGATAATCGATAGATCGAGAAGCATTCGGGTAGTGTATTGTGTCCAATCGCTGCAATGACGACAACAGCCGAACCATAACAATGTCTGGAACTCAGCGCGTGTCCTGTGCCTTGCCAACCCCAGCGCATGGCTATGATCAACACTGGCGGCATATAATCGGCTCCAGATCACATGGCCGCTTGTTCTGGCTGTGAGTTGAGGAGGTGAACTCTGCTCGTTTTCCTTTATTTTTTTCTGCGACTTCGATTGCGTGTGGTGAAAAACGAACGGGTATTTCACCGGTCATTAACGTCAGGGATTTGTTTTAAGTGGTATTTGAGCAAAATACAAAAATCGTTGCATCGCCCCTTTAATCAGTCCCTGCCTGATTTTGTTGATCTTACTGCTTATTGTTTTTTCTTCCCATATGTCATTCCAATAGAAACACATTGTTCCCCACTCCCCTTTTGTAATGTTTTATGCCCTGAGCGTGAATAATTAAAATGAAGTGAGGTGAAACAAACCCACCCGTACCCCAAGTCTTGGACATTCCAGTCACCTCAGCTCTCCAAAAACATTCCTGGCTACGCACCTGGGTACTGCACCTCGGTAGGTTTCGCCCTCGGTGTTGAAATATATATCTTATCTTGCAACGTTTCCCATTGGCCATTCAAGCACTTACTCGGTCTGTCTTTCTTGCCTTTTCGATCGCCCTTTCCCGCGCCAACAACTCGGTTGGTGTAATGTGGTGCTCCTTCTCGAGAATACCACGATGCTCACTAAAACAGCCCGTTTGAAATTAAAGAACAATATAAAGGGTTGGTGAACGTACTCTTCGTATTGGAAATGCATCCAAAAGTGAGCCGACGTATAGCTTTTTTTTTCGTTTTTTGGCCGCTTTCTTAGGCTCGATCTAATGACTTCAACTTGTTCTCTGCCTGCTCGGCTGTGATAACCCCGCCTCACTTTCCGACAACGGTGTCGGCCAGCTGCAGCCACAGGGCCCTTATGCTCCTAAACATAAACATTTATTGTTTCTTATTAGGCGTGTCTCGTAAAATTTCCCGGCAAAGGTGCACTTGAAACCTCCATTGGTGCTGAGATATTCTCCCAACTTTTTTTAGGCACCGATAAAAAAAAAAAAAAAGAAACTTTGTTTTTACGACATTAAACAGCTGCCTGTCGACGTCAGCTGGGGGTGGACGCGCGGGCTGCAGCACCGCTTGGTTTGTGGTCGGCTCGGAGGCTAAACTGAGCGTAACTCGTTCTCCGTCTCAAATAATAAAATACGAACATTGTAAACGTCAATGTATTATAATGAGGTAATGATCGACGTAAGTCAATCATTCACCAAACGTAAGCAAGCCTACGCAGCCTTGCATACGATTTGTACAACATACAAGTACAAATTGTACAACTTGCGTTGTACAATTTGTACAACGCAAGTTTGTTAACACACTTGCGTTAGTTCGACACTGCAGAGTGCGACTGCAACGGACGGGTTGCTTGGCACGAGTTCCGTCGGCTCCAACGAAACAAAATAAAAAACCTGTTTTTTATTTCGTAGTTGACGGGGTTGTTGCCGTAAAATGCGGTAGCAACCCTTACTTCACAAGCACTCGGTCCGACTCGACGCAAGTGTTTGAAACGCCGTTAAGTCCTAACTTCCGTTATGTGGACCATCCCGCTTCCGTCCACTGCAGGTACACCAGTTTCATCTACGAGTGAAAATACTACACTTTCAACGTTCTTCTGTATTACAAACATGGTTCAAATAAACGCCCTAAGAAACACGGAGATCAAGGTAGAGAAGAGGCGTCTGCCTTCGCCGTCTGCTTTCGTCGCCTGCTACACCACTAACGCTGAACTGGCTTCGGAGCCCGTGCAAGCATTTAGGGAACTGGGATTGAACTTGTACAGAACTGAGACGAATCGAACGCGCCAGTGCAGCGCCCGTGCCACTTCCGGTCGGATCAAATATGCCAGTTCCTGTAACCTATACTCGTCACACGAAGGAAAAAGTAACTTATGTGCATTATTCATGCGCTACACGAAGTAGTTCTTGCAACTTTCAGTTGTTGAAGGAAGAAATTAGGTGGTTATCGCTTAGAACGTGTAACTTTCAATAAAATAACGGCAAGCTAATCTAAAATTTACCCACATATATCCTTATTTACCACATAAAGAAGTAAATCAGCAGTGCCTTTTTTTTTAAATTTTACTATGGTTATTGAGGAGAATACAAGTATAGTTTATCTAATTCAGGTGAATCGAACAGTTATAATGTCGTTTTCATTGAACGTTTGAACGGTGTTTTAGTTGATTTACATTCTCATTAAATTCATTGGAGATTTCCATTTTCATTGAACGCTTGAAATGAACGTTTGAACGTTCACTTCAATTGAACATATCATTGCTTTTTATGTTTTCATCGGAAATTATGGCGTTTGACGCTTATGTACACCGAGAAAAGTATCCGTGACGCAAGTCAAGCGCTTCGTCATCGCGAGGGATCAAAACATGCGCGGAAGTTGCTCCAAGAACATCAATGGGCGGTAGCAGCATGTTACGTGTTCCGGATTCTGCGACCGTCGCTTCCACTGCAGGTGGACATTGCCGCTGCAGATAAGGAATTTCTCGTTCGGAACGGAGTCAGCACCTACAAGTGTAAAGAGTGCACCAGAGAGCAAGGAACCAATCCGTCTAGGCTTTGCATCCACGACTTGCCCAGCAGTATGAAGCCCGGCATTGAAGGTAAAGTACACTCTGATAAGCAGGAAAAAGTACGTGCATATGTAGCAGAGCTACGACCAATCATTATTCAGCTTTGCGAAAAGATTGCCATGTTCTCCACCAAAATACAGGCGCTGCCCCAGGCAGACAATGAACAATTGCAACTTCATCTAGCCCGTAATGAGGAACTGCTTCGTAACTCCTCAAGCACTGCTCCTCCTCGCTCCATTTCGACGAATTTAGAAGCTGCTTTTGAAAGTTGTGTTTCAACAATTAAGGGTACTCCGACAGGTGTAAGTAAACCATATTTTTCGAATTCTTTAAATTTGGATACTGGACTTTCAAGTTATGCGGTAGCGATTCGGAGCACTAGTTACGGCTGGTGCAGACGTGCAAGCAACGGCGCAAGTATGATCGAGAACCAATTGGAACCGTGCATCTAATCTGGAGCCTAGAGAACCCTTGGTTTCCTCGACCACTGGTATCCACGGCAGCCAATCGACAACTGGCAAGGACGGATTCACCATTACTTAAAAGACAAGGAAAGTCAAGCCCGCCACAGGCACGAACATCACTAGTAAGCTGACGTCCGCACCTCGCCCTCCGCGGAGTCGGGCGCTCTTTGTTTCTCGTCTTGACCATACAACAACTGTTTACGATATCACAGAAAGGCTCAGCACCGTTGTTAAAACATTTGTATGTACTGTGGGCAACCTGGGGATCAAAAGCTTTGGACCAGGTGGCCCGCATGCCAAATCGTCCACAGTCATTTCCGCCGCGAGGGGGCCAAGTAACAATTGGCCACGCGAGCGGTGCTCCAACACTGATAGGCCGTTGCAGTGGATGCGCGGGACCTCTTGCGATCGCGGCGCGGGCGATGGCGGGGAATAAATGAATACGTGTTGCTGAAGCAGTGCCTCGTGTCATTCTCCGAGAGGTTTAGCAGCAAGGAAATTCCTCCACTGGCGCCCAAACGTGAGGAAGCTGTTTGTCTGGGAAGATGGCCACCGAACTGGGTTCGTTATTGCTTCTAACAAAGTCCTTTTTGAGTTTCTAAATTTGCCCGTGTTTCCGAAACGTTTTTTTTTTTTTTTTTAGAATTTATTTGAGAAAATTTAACTGCATTCAGAACCTCTAAGTAGTACAGAATGTCGTCTACGGGGGGCGCCAACAAACACGTGAGCGATTAGCCAACCACGTCGCTTGGCGGAGCTGAGTAACAACGGGATCACAGAGGGGAGGGGGGAGGGTTGCAGGCATTGTTCAGTAGGCCTTGAGCCAAACTCACGGGGCTCAGCATATTGCCCAGCACCCTGCAGGAAAATGTCAGAGGGTGCTCAAGTACCCATTACACGCCCGGGGTTTTAATGTTTGTACTTGCGTACAAACATTAAAACTGACAGCCCTCACGTTTTTTTTTTTTTTTTTTTTTTTTGATAAATAAACATTTTGTGGTTGAGAGTGACTCCGCTGAGCGAAAGATATAGTGGAGCTCAATGAGGCAAGAGTTACCTAGAGTTACCGCGAAGTCGGTGGCGGTTTCGTTGAGTGGGGTTTAGCAGACGACAAGCTCATAGGCTTTGCTACGCGGAATTCGCTCACTCCCGGAAATCCGCTCACTCCCGGAAATCCGCTGTCGAGATGGAACTTCTTTGTCATTCGTGAACTTCTGGGCTTCCCTGAGGACGGTCTCATTGACGGCAAGAAACTTTGTTTACTCCACTACGACAGCAAGCTTGCCAGCTCAGCCGTAGGTGCTCCCGTACGTTTGATTTTTTTAATCGGCGTTCGAACGTTTAACAATTACCGATTTGATCTCCGGACACTCGGTATAAGGATCGCAGCATACCATAAAATACTCGCCTCCGAGCACAGCCTACATGCTTCAGTGTTCTTACTTTTGTGCGTTTCTTCCATAGACTTGCGTGTATTGCCTTTGTCAAGCAATGGCCGCCGGTGGCGACACCGACGGGCTCCCGATCCGCGAACGCCAAACTGACTGAGCTCCAAAATGGCTCCCGCAGAGACCGCAGTTTACAGGATAACCTGTTCGTTCTCGCGCCGCTCATTGAGATCGCCAGAAAAGAGGGACGATATTTTATATGCTGTTTCTTAGATGTAGCGAAGGCGTATGATAGCGTATCAAACGGGTCCCTCATCCAATGCCTCATGAGACTATATATGCCCAGCCAATGGACGAACTTCATGCGACGATTGTACGACGGAGGAGCTGTCACGGCTAAGTTCGGAGGCTTTGATGTCCAGAAGGGCTGAAGTGGAGAGGGGCCTGAAGCAGGGCTGCCCTCTCTCGCCCCTCCTATACACGAACTCATCTCTGTTACGTCACGGCGCGGTGGTGGCGCGTCGGACGCACTTCCGGTCCGGGGTTGTGGGCGGAAGTGCCCATCTGAGACGTGTATTCCTGCGCTGTTTTGAAAGGAACCAGACAAAAACCTGCCTTATTGTCAAAATGCTGCTACTTGGGCTGTACCAAAGGGCCGAGAAAGGTTTGAAGGTCAGTTTTCATGCGCTCGGTTTGTCCGAGAACGTGGATATATGCCGTGAAAAGGGAAAACCAGACGCCGTCGGACCACGATTGCTTGGGCGGTAAGCATTTTGGGTTGAATTCACGGATACTTCTGGCCATCAGATTTATTTGTTTTGTTCCAAAATGAACGCCGGAAAACCGTCAAGTTGTACGGACCACCTGCGGACTACGTTCAGTGCATCTTCAATTTGAAACGGTCGCCCTATCGTTCGAACTGTCGTCTGCTCTTTCAAACGTTTCTGCTTGTCGTCTGCTCTTTTAGAGGACACCCGCCCGTAGACCAAACGTGGACCCGGTAATTGCGATAAGAAGTAAGTACAGGCCTCAAAAGACTTAAGTTTGAAGGTTGGTAAGCAGGCTCGACGTAAACAGTCGATACAAGGAGATGTTGATCACTATTACCAGTGGCCATCATCGACTTGTTATGCCTGATTCACTTGGTTAGATTCTGCTTGCGATTTTCAGTATTGACGTCGACCATCTCAGCTACGGTTCAGGCTTTTGCAGTCCGAGCGACGTCGCTACTGAAAATTGCAAGCGAAATCTCATCATGTGAATCAGGCTTTAGCGTACATTCTGCGGCGTCCACGCGGAATGAATCGCCGCATGTCAGATTATTCACGCGAAGTTTTGCGGTGTAACGAGCCTCGTTAATTTCGCTGACGCCGCTCAAGTAGTCAGACATCGTTAGGAGGACGTAGAATCAACAATTCCAACGCAAAAAAGAGCGCGGGGACTCACACCGACGCCGAAAACATCGCATTTCAATGGTTTGTTTATGGGCGACGGCGAGCTTCTTGCCCACACCCCCATCGCGCATGCGCGGCGCCGGTGGCGTCCGCTAGGGGCGCTCCGGGCTCTCCGGTTTGTTTGTAAACATGAGTTGGTGTATATATGTTGTACACGGGCGAGCTAGAACAACATCTCCTGAAATCAGGGCTCGGTTTCTCGCTCACACGCGTAGAAGAGGGTTGTGAAACGCACTGGACACTGCCGGGCCTCGCATACACTGATGACCTGGTGCTCATGGCGGAAGACACGGAAACACTTCGGGAGTTGGTAGACGTCTGTGAGGAAGAAGTGGAACTACTGATACTTTAATTCCATGTTTTAGAATCAGCAGTAGTGCAGTTCTCTGGAGACTACACAGGAAACAGAGTGTTGAGGCTGCAACAGGAAGCGGTCGCGGTGTCGGATCAGTACAGATATCTATACGAACGCGCCCGACTACTGTGACAAATATCAAGCAAATATTCGACAGACGGAAAAAAGAGGGCAAAACATCTTACGTCGGCGAATTCTGTGGAGCGGCAATAGATACCTGTGGTAGGGGTCGCTACTATTAGGTTGTATATATATGAGAGAGTAAAGAGGCAGACGAAGACTTGTTTCGTTCCACCCGGACCAGGCGCGTGTGTGTGTTCGTTCCTCTCTGGCCTCGACGGTCGCCGGTCTCTACATGGTGTCAGAAGTGGGATGCTAGCGCCTTTTCTCTTTTCAAGCGCCAGCACCAGCCTCGGAGGAGACCGCCATGGCCGAAGGGGAGGGCGCCGCCGCCGGTCCGGGAGCGTTGCCAGTCGGTGCGCTCAATCTACGAGCACCGCCCCAGTTTGACTTCAGCAACCCCGGAAAATGGAAACAGTGGCATCAGCAGTTTGATGACTACGTCTACGCGTCAGGACTCTACGCCGCCAGCGACAAAGTCCGTGTTCGGACCCTACTATACTCCATGGGGCCGCAAGCGCGGGACGTTCTGACTTCGTTACACGTCGACGATTCAAACTTCGACAACTACGATCTCATCGCTGAGATGTTCAACGCGTACTTCGTTCACCCAGTGAATGAGCTCTACGAGAGCGCACGCTTCCACAGACGGTTGCAGCAAGCGGGTGAGTCAGCTGACTCCTTTTTTACGACGCTCAGCAACATGGCAAAAAAATGTAACTACCCGTCGTGAGAAGTCGAGGAGCGGCTCATTCGCGACCGTTTTGTGGTGAGCTTGCGAGACACAAAGCTGTCGGACAGACTGTGCCGAAACACGAAGCTTACGTTGGACGAAGCGCTCATTCAAGTTCGCCAATACGAGGACGCAGAGAGGGAACGGAAGCTGCGGGACTCGTTGGCATCTACAGCCATGGCAGCTTCAGCAGAAGCGAAGGCGTTAAACATTGACGCAGCAAAAGTTGCGAAGAACCGCCTGCCAAGGCCGAAGCAAGCAAGCGGTGACGCAGCGAGAGCATCTTCATGCGGCTTTTGCGGACGTTCTCCGCATCCGCGCTCAGAGTGCCCTGCTAACCGTGCGCAATGCAACAAGTGCCACAAGAAGGGCCACTTCGCAGCTGTCTGCCGCGCCAAGAATAAGTTGGCTTCACTGGAGCTTGGTGCCGTCCGTTGTCCGTCCAAGGCTAGAGCGAAGTTTGTAGACGTGAAGGTCAACGACGTACTGCTGAGCTTCAAGGTTGACAGCGGAGCG